CAGCTTGCCATTTCCAGCTGTTTTTGTTGCTCCACTGCAGTGTGGCCCAGGCTATCACCTTCCTCAGAGCTCATAGCCAGTGCCATCTCTCTCATCCACAGCTTACAGCTTTTCGTTCTATGTAATGTTTTTATGGAACTGTCAAAAGCCGTCTGTCCCGACTTCCTGGCGCATACAAGGATGCACTCTCCTCCTCTGCAGGCCTGCTTTCTCATCAGAGCTTTGTATCCCATCCCCTCCCCCTCCCCGTGCCAGCCCCCTTGTCTGACATGCCTTCCTGCCTGCATACACTCACGTCCACTTGATTGACTCCATTACCTCTTCCAGTGCTACCATTTCTCTTCTTTTGCCATTTCCGTACTTCTCATTCCTATCATGGGAACAGTGTATTGAAACTGCTTTCCCCAAATCATTAGTGAATCCTTATCCAACCGATCTAATATATTTCCACCCTTGATTTATCCAACTCTATTTTGATCCTACCCTCCTTGAAATTCCACCTTCTGTATCTTCTCATTGTCAGAGTTCTTCTCTGTGGGCTTCGCTTCTCTTTCTCCTTTGCTTCCTGCGTGTTGATTTCTCCATAGTTTAATCATGGCTCTTCAGTGTATTCCTTGGGTTGCCTTTTGTTGTATGCTGTATTTTCATCCTGTGTCTTGGTTCCTTAGCAGGTGTCATGTGAGTGGTGCTGTTGGGCTGTTGGTGGGGACATGTGACTGCCCTTAGGCTCTCCTTTCCATTGGTCTGCTTCATCTGAGTCTTAAAGCAGAAGTCCACAGTTACTTTTGAATCCTGACAAAAGGCCACAGAGGTGGGGGTCTGTTGCCAGGTAACTTGAGTACACATTATAGAAGAGAAACATGGCAGGCAGTCATCACATCAGGGTATATCACATTCAAGTGACCCTCCTAGATGTGCCTTCTCTGTGGCCCACTCCCTGCATTGCAAACCAGTCTCTCCATTCCTGTAGCACTTCTTCCTGCTGATACACTGTTCTCAACTTGGACCTGCAGCAGCCATGAGCCAGTCCTCACCCCACAGCTATCATTGTTCAGGACATACCCATCTCCCAGAACTTTCTGCTCCCCATGTCCCTGTTGTGGCCCTCATTCATGTTTCCATTTTCTGAGTAACTGTCAGCCTCCTGCCTGGCTTCTTTGCAGCCTTTGTATTTTCTTCTGATCCTTCATTTAACTACCTCTAATATAACATTTATATATATATATATATATATATAATATATATATATATATATATATTTTTGGTTTTAGTAGGGCACAATGCCTTTATTTTATTTATTTTTATGTGGTGCTGAGGATCGAACCCAGCACTTTCCACGTGCTAGATGAGCGCTATACCACTGAGCCACAACCCCAGCCCCTCTGGTATAGCATTTAAAAATGGGCCTTTATTTATTCATATGTAGTACTGGGACTCAAACCCAGTGCCTCACATATGCTAGGCAAGTGTTCTACCATGGAGCCCCAGCCCTAGTACAGCATTTTTAAGACACAAATCTGATGTTTCCTGGCAGATAACACCTAGGGAGGAGTCCACACTTCTAGAATGGCCTTCTTGGGCCCTGGCCTGGCTGGGCCTGGCTGTGTACACTGCCTGCTGTCTCTACTGCTGTTGGCCACCTGCACTGGATGCACCAGTAGCCTCACACAACGTCTTCTGGGTTGGCCTTTCTTCATGCTGTCTGCCAATCTTTACCTGTCAAGCCACTCTGAGATCCAGACCAGGTTTTTTGCAGGCTCCACATCCTTGGTTGCTTCTCACATTGTGAAAAGTGAAATCCATGAGGGAGGGTGGGTCTGGAACCCCTAGGATGGACCTACTGTGTTGTAAGCACTAGGGGCATCATCAGATGTGAAGGAATATAGGAGCCACATGGGCTTATTCCACTTCTTGGACCTGCTGACGGTGGCTCTTTCAAAGGAGCCTGTGCTCTGATAATACCCACCCAGAGTTTACACAGCACCTACTCTCGCATCTGAGTCTTCATCTAGTGTGTTCACTGCCTTTATTGTCATCTACAAGTTGTGACTGATCCTTACTCACATTGCTGGGCAAAGGGTTCAGGACCAGGTACAGTGAGACCTGTAGCCTAATATCAGACCTCTGCCTTGGACAGCTGGCTGTATCTTCATGTTGCTGCTTGTGTTAGCAGCTATGGGGGCAAAGAGGAAGAAGCACCAGATTTACCTGGAGAAATGAGGTTGTGGCTCAGAAAGGATTGGTTGTATGACCTTGCAGGGTGGATAGGGTTTGTCAAGAGTCAAGGAAGGGAAGGACGCTGCTGGCAGAGGAACAGTGCTACAGAGTGAATGGGGAGGTCTGCAGAGGTCCTCCTTGAGTGTCCAACAAGCACAGGTCATTACATGCAATGGAGAACACTGCCTGAGCCAGGGAAAGGTTCATCTAAGGGGCCAGAGGGAGAGTACCTGAAGTTTACACAGGCCGGAAGGAGGGGAAGACTACTTCCTAGTGTGCCAGGGCCTATCAGGAAGGTCTTGCTGCAGTCGTGGGAAATATTCAGCACTGGCTAACTACTGCTGACTCCTCCTAGCAGATTGTAAAGTAAGACCCAGAAAGATCAAGCTCTTTCCAAGTGACCTAACTGCATCCTAAAACAACACTCAAGATTTATATTGTATGTAATGAAATAAAATCTGCAACATCTGCCATCCAAAGATTACAAAGCAGGCAAAGAGGAGAACACGGCCCTTAATTAGGACAGTAATGAGGTGACACTGACCTAGATTGACACAGACACTGGAATCAGCAGAGGAGGGCAATGCAACTGTTAGAGTCATTTTATACTGTCAAGAAGGTCATAGAAGCCAGTGATGCACCTGTATCCCCGCTACTCGAGACTCAGGCAGGAAAATCACAAGCTTGAGGCCACCCATAGCCACTTAGCAAGACCCTGTCTCAAGGGCTGGGAATGTTAGCTCAGTGGCAGAAGTGCCTGGTTTCAGTGACTTTTATATATTTACTATTTTTTTGTTGTTGTTGTTCTAGAGAGTACACCTTTATATTAAAAAAAAAAAGACAAATCAAAAAACCACACTAAAGAGAAATAGGAGGTATAAAAGAACTACATCGAGAATCTAGAGAGAAAAATCTATATTATCTAAAAGGAAAATATAATGGATTACAACACATCAGACTTGTAGGAGAAATGATTGATGAGTTTAAAGGCATGTCAATAAAGCTGTCCAAAGTGAAATGCAGAAAGAAAAGGAAGCCGAAAGAAAAAAAGGAATGCTTTATTGAGCTGTGGACAATGGCTGGTTGCCCACTGTGTGAACATGTATGTGCCCCACAAGCAGGTTTTAGTCAATGATGGCGAATAATAGGACAGTGTGATACAATGGAGCTGGAAAACGGCTGTTGTCTAATGATAGGACAACCTAGTGCCACTGTGGTAGCAACACAGTGCGCCTCTTGGAGACACAGCAGGTGGGCTGGGGTGACTTGGGGGCAGAGCACTTGCCTTCCTTTTGCAAGGCCCCACACTGTGTTTGACCCCAGCACCATACACACAGGTAGCATGTGCAGATGTATAGTGCATGAGACTTGGTAATAAATGACCTTGCTAAGTATGGATTTGCTGTTCTTTTTAATTCTTATTTTAGAGAGTATACCTTCTTGTAAAGGTGAAGAATATAAGGCATGCTAGGCTAAGCTGGCAGCAGCTTTACACATAGGTTTGCTTAGGTGTTGTCTATGATGGTCACACAGTAACAAGATCACCTAACATGCAGTTCTCAGAACAGATCCCTGTTGATAAGTGATAATGTGGGCTGTGGTCATTATACCAAAGGAGAGGAGAGTAAGGAAGAAAAACATGAACAGCTCCTCAGGAGGCTGAAGTAGGATCCCAAGTTTGAGGCCAGCCTGGGTAACTTAGCAACACTGCATCTCAAAAAAATAAAGATGGGCTTGGGGAGGCTGAGGCAGGAGGATCACAAGTTGGAGACCAGTCTCAGCAATTTAGTGAGACCCTGTCTCAAAAAAGCACTGGAGATGTAGCTCAGTGGTTTAAGTGCACCAGATTCAGTCCTGGGGATGTAATTCGGTGGTAGAATTCTTAACCTAGCACATTCTTGGTGAATTCTCTCTCCAGGACTGAAAAAAGGAAACAACAACAACAAAAAAATCTAAACAACACCAGAAGACCCTGAGTATACTCCCAAAGAAATTGAAAAGGGGAACTCGGATTGATACTTGTCTGCCAGTGTCCATTGAAGCATTATTCACAATAACTGAAAGTTGTAAACAGCCCAGTGTCCATCAGCAAATGAATGGGTAATGTGGAATGTGTAACAGAGTAGTATTCGGTCAATAAAAAGGAATGAGGTTCTTTTTTATAAATAGTATTGGGGATTGACCCAGGAGTGCTGTACCACTGAGCTACATGCCAGCCCTTTTTACTTTTTGAGACAGATGTCACTAAGATGCCCACGCTGGTCCTGAACTTGTGATCCTCTAGTCTCAGCCTCATGAGTTGTTGGGATAACAGGCTTGGCTCCTGTGCCTGGCGGGAATGGAGTTCTGATACATGCTGCAATATGGCAAGCTTTGAAAACCTCATGCTAAATGAAATAAATTGGACAAAATGGCAAATATTGTTGGATTCCACTTTCATGAACTATCTAGAATGACAAATTTGTAAATAAAGGTTGTTAGGGGCTTTGAAGAGGGAGGATGGGGAGCTACTGCCTGAGAGATTGGAGTTTCTGTTTTGAGTAATGAAAAGCTGTGGAGTTAGTGGTGATGGCTGTACAACATCGTGGGTGTAACGCCACTGAATTGTGTGCTGGAACACAGCTATATTGGCAAATTGTCATCTGTATTTTACCGCGATTTTTAAAATTATGTGATATACCAAAAGTCATTGAATTGAAAACTTTAAATGAGTGAATTATATTGTATAGGAGTTGCATCTCAATAAAGCTATTTAAAAAAACCAAAGGTACAGTAAAGACGTCACAGCAATTGCTGCAGAGAATTTACAACCACGAGATTCCTTACCACGAATGTTGAAGAGCGCCTTCAGGGAGAAGGACCTGAGAGCAGATGGAGAGCTGGCCCCGAGCAGAGGAGCGAACAGCCTGGTGATGGTATTTAGGTATGTGTGTGATGTTCTCCTTAAGGTTTAAGTCCTTCTAGGAGGAAGCTGACCATGTGGGTTTCTTGTTACTGTGTAACAAGTACCAGGTGACCTTCACACAGCACTCTGCTCATAGTTCTGCAGGCCAGCAGCTCCGCGTGGCAGTGTCCTCTACTCAGGGTTGCCAGAGGCCTAGCTCAGGGGCCTGCAGGACCAAGTGCTCCTCTGGAGGCTGTGACAGGGTTCATTTTCTTGTCCCTCCTCCATGAAGGCTGTGGGCCGAATGCTGCCCTTGGCTCCCTGGAGCCTGCACTCCTGTCCATGCTGCACTTCCCTCCGGGTGCTTCAGGCCTCTGCTTCCTTCTGTGACCAGCAGGAGGGGACTTGTTTCTTATTTCTAAAGTGCGAATGTCAGGTCAGTTTATTTATTGCTTTTTTACCTCAAAAGAGGATCTGTAGTGGTAGGTAGAACCATCCAGTTCCGAATTAGTTTTAGCATTGTACTCCAGAGATTAAGGGGTCCCTTTTATGTAACCCCGTCTGTAATCTTGGGAAGTTTCAGGCATTGTGTGTTATTTTTCTGTGTGGTAGGTCTTTGACACCTTTGCACAGTTAAAGAGTCAGCAACCTTGTCTCATGTTTCTCTTTTCCCCAACTTGGGTTTTCAGGACTCTCCTGTTGCTCAGGAAAGTGTTGCCAAGAACAAGGAGGGCATGGAGGCCGCATTGCTGCCTGCCTGGTCCCAGGTATGTTGGGCTGCTTTCCTTGTTGCCCAGTTGGGAACCCCTCTACACCAAGGTTCTGATGCCCTCTGCCCAGGGGCGTAGGAGTTTGCATCCAGGAGGCCAGGAGTGTTTTGTCTGCTTTGTTTATAGATGTAGGTTTGTTTCCTTTAATACAAAACAAACACAAGTGGAACAGCTGGGCTGGAATTGGACCCAGTTGGTGGAATGCTCTTTCATCCACACCAGTCATTAAACCCACAGAAGAAGTAGAGTGTTGGTGCCTCACACAGGCTTCCTTGGTCCTGGCTGTTCTGGTGTGATGCTGGTTGTGTGAATTCATCCGTGGGGATTTCCTGTTTGAAGGATCTTAGGGCAGCACAGGTAATTATCAAAGAGAGAAAACTCTACCAAGGCACAGCACAGAGTGCTCAGGGGGATGCACCGTCTAGGAGCAGAGCAGCCTGGTTGCATCCTTTATGTGGGCGTAGACAGGTGATCTGGGGAGCAGTCAGGAGCAGAACAGATGTTCCTTGCGCAGTAAATGCTCTGGGCAGGAGTTTGGTGTATGCATAGAACACAAGGAGATTTAAATAATTTTAAGGTTCAGGAGAAAACTTGCTGAAATGACATTCACACCAAGACATTAAGAATGATTTATGGGGCTGGAGCTGTGGCTCAGTGGCAGAGCACTTACCTAGCATGTGTGAGGCACTGGTTTTGATCCTCAGCACCACATAAAAATAAATAAATAAAGGCATTCTGTCCATTTACAACTACAAAAAAAAAAAAAAAGTCATTTATGATTATCCGCCTAAGCATGAAGGAAGTGAAGGAAGTGGATTTGTTGAGTACCCAGAGTTTTGAGAAAGCATGGCCTCTTTGAAGAACTCTGAGGGGAGAGTGGGCAGTGTGGACCTTGTGCCTGTCGCTGCAGGCCCTCAGGAAAGGCCCTGCAGAACAGACACAGGTCAGTAACTGGCAAGCTGATTGTGCTGAGGGGCTTGCATGTCAATTGTGCTGCTGAGAATGAGAAGCTAGGCTGTGTTGCTGAAAAGTGAGTTAATTAGAAATCACTATGGCTTGATCTTTTCCCCTCCCCCTCCCTCCCTCCCTCTCTCCCTCTCTTCCTCTCTCTCTTTTGGTACTGGGGATTGAACTCAGGGGTACTAGACTACTGAACCACATTCCCAGCCCTGTTTTGTATTTTATTTCGAGGCAGGGTCTCACTAAGTTGCTTAACACCTTGCTTTTGCTGAGGCTGCCTTTGAACTCATGATCCTCCTGTCTTAGAGCCCCCAAGCCACTGGGATTACAGGTGTGTGCCACCATGCTTGGCTTTCCCTTGCTTATTATGGAAATTTCCACAGATATACAATAGTAGAAAAAGTAGTTTGATACGTCAGAGAAGAAGGGCATAAACATTGTTTTTATATTCTCTATTGAAGGACATTTAGGTTAATTCCAGTTTGGAGCAGCTTTCAATAAAGCCCTTTACCGGTTTTTATACATTCGCATGTAGGTTTTGGTGTGAGCCTGTTTTCATTATCCTAGTATTTAGCCAAGAGAATGGCAGATTAAGTGTTCCCAGAGGCCCTGTGTTGACTTGTTCTCTGGCTTGGTGTGTTGGGGGCAGTTGCACTTTTAAGAGGAGGGGCCTGTAGGCCTGTAGGTCCCAAAGCATTGGGGTAGCCCCTCTCAGGGGATTGTGGGCCTCTGTCTCTGGCCCTCTCTTCCTTGCACTTACCTGGCCATAATGTGAATAGGTCCCCACTGCCACACATTCCCACCACAATGCATGGTGCTGCCCCAGGGCCAACTGGCATGGCCTAAGACCTCCAGAAGTGGGAGCCCAAACAAACCTTTTTGTTGTTGATTACCCATGTATTCTGTTAGAGTGACAGCCAGATGACATTGGCTATGTGCAGCAAGTAACTTTAACTTGAGAAAATGTGAGCAGCATTTTCCCAAAGTGAGGCATTTTCCATTCCACAGTGGAGAGCAGCAGTCACTCTACATCCTCATTGGTGTTTGGTTTGAAATTTTACCCTTCCTAATAGGTGTCTGCTGTCTTGCTATGGTTTTAGTTTCCATTTCCCTGATGAATATGACCTTGGACATTTAAAAAAATTTTTTTTTAGTTGTCAATGGACCTTTATTTTATTTATTGATACGTGGTGCTGAGAATCGAACTCAGTGCCTCACACATGCTAGGCAAGTGGTCTGCCACTGAGCCACAACCCTTGGTCATCTTTTCATATGAGTATTTACCATTTTTGGTGAAAAGTTTTAATTTTTTCTGCTCAGTTTTTAACTAGTCTGTTTACTTACTGTTGAGTTTTTACAAAATGTATATATTTTTTAGTTACAGATGGACACAATATCTTTATTTTTATTTATTTACTTTTACATGGTGTTGAGGATTGAACCCAGGGCCTCATGCATGTGAGGCAAGTGCTCTACCACTGAGCTACATCCTCAGCCCCTACTGTTGAGTTTAAAAAGAAATTTTCTTTTTTTTTAGTTGTAGATGGACACAACACATTTATTTTATTTATTTATTTTTATGTGGTGCTAAGGATCTAGCCCAGTGCCTCATATGTGCTAGGTGAGCGCTCTACCACTGAGCCCCAGCCCCAGCCCCTGAATGTTGATATTAATGCACTTGAATTTAAATGTGTCTTTGTGTTTTCTGCATATTCCCCAATCTCACCCCCATGCTGCCTTTACATGGGTGTTTTTTAGTATTTCATTTTTATTTATATTTTGACTCTTTAACATTGCATTTTTTGTATTTTTAAAAGGTTGTTGTAGAGAATAGAATGTACATACCTAATATTTTATAATCTAGACTTAATTTTTACCGCTTCAACTAAAATCTGGAAGCCTTTTAAACACATGCATCCCTTGATTTTCCTCCCTTTGAGTTCATATTGGGTGTGTGTGCATGTGTGTTTGTGTCCTTACATATGTTGAAAAACCCCACCAGAAAATGTTGCAGCTTTGCTTTCAACTACCATATATATACTTTTTTATAATTATAAGTTTAATGTTTTTAAAATAGTTTTTAAACCAGTACATAAAACTTGTACATATTAATTGGTACCATATAATATTCAATTCACATATATATTGTGTAATGTTTAAGTGAACTTAAACATATTTATCTCCTGAAACACTTATAATTTCTTTATAGTGAAAACTTTGAAAATCCTTTCTTCTAGCTTTTGGAAATGTGCATTATTGTTATATGTGCTCCTTCCTCTATATCCCATATATTTTTGAGTTTAAGAGAAGAAACCCACAACACTGGGCTGGGGTTGTGGCTCAGAGGTATAGAGCTTGCCTAGCACATGGGAGTTGCTGGGTTTGATCCTCAGCACCATATGAAAAAATAAATAAATAAAATAAAGGTATTGTGTTCAACTACAACTAAAAAAAATATTAAAAAAGAAAGAAACCCATGACACCCAGATATCTACTGTTTTTATGGTTCATCCTTCATTTCTAAAATTTCAGTTTTCTCTTCAGCGTTATTCACTTTTTGCCTGAAGAATATCTTGTAGCACATCTTTTAGGGCAGATCTTCTGACAACAAACTTTGTTGGTTTTACTTCATTTCAAAATGTATATTTCTTGGCATTTCTGAAAGATATTTCCATTAGATGAAAAAATTCTGGCTTAGCCAGGCACAGTGGCACATTCCTGTGATCCCAGGTACTCAGAAGGCTGAGGCTGGAGGATCACAAGTTCAGCGCCAGCCTGTGCAACTTAGCAAGACCTTATATCAAGAGAAAAATTTACAAAAAGAACTGGGAGTGTAGCTCAGTGGCAGAGCACTTGCCTAGCATGTGTGAAACCCTGGATTCTATCCTCAGTAACACCAAAAGAAAAAAAAATCTTGTTTTGACATTTCTTTCAGCATTTAAAAACAGGCATATATTCTTCATTCAAGTAGATTTTTTGTCCCCTTTGGTAACAGGGATTGAACCCAGAGAAGTTTAACCACTAAGCACATCCTCAGACCTTTTTATTTTTATTTTGAGTCAGGGTCTCACTAAGTTGCTTAGAGCCTCACTAAATGACTGAGGCTGACTTTGAACTTGAGATCCTCCTGCCTCAGCTTCTCGAGCTGCTAGAATTGCAGGTGTGTGCTGCTGTGCCAAGCTCCAAATAGATAGTTTTTCTACATATAATCAACACTTCTTTTTGATGAAGCTAGTACAGTCCTTACGTTTGTATATCTTGTTTCCTTCATTAAATTATTTTGCTACTACTAAAGGATGACTTTCTTCTCCTTTTTTATGCCTATCAGTGTTGAGGGAAAATGTTCTGGGTGATTATTTGGGGTCATGAAACATGGCTTGAGTGATGTGCCTCTTGAGCTATGCAGTGTGCTCGACCTCTACTTTCCCCCCCTATTTTCTTGCCTTGAATTTAGGTATAAACGGGTTAACTTCTGGTGTCTGATTTTCCCTTCCATAGTTGTTTTAAATAAAAATGTTTGTTTCTAATCTAAAGCATGACACAGACTTTGCTTTTGGATAGTAACTACCTAAGATCCATTCCTTGGGAGACTTGACCCAGATACCTCAAAATAAATACTGCTAGCTCCTAGAGCGAGTTGGTCCATCCTCTCCCTACTCAGTGCAGGCAGCCTCCCTTTGCCAGGATCCAAAGGGAGGGCAAATGTATTAATCTGGCTCAGTGCAGATTTGTTTGATTTTGTAGACACTGGTGACCTTCAAGGATGTGCTTGTGGACTTCACTAGAGAGGAGTGGCAGCTGCTAGACCCAGCTCAGCAGGTCATATACAAAGATGTGATGTTGGAGAACTATGAGAACTTGGTGTCATTGGGTAAGACTAACCTGTGCTTGAAAACTACTCACTGTGGTGATTTTGGCTTTTCATTGCTTAGTGACTAAGACCCTGTAGGCTTGGGTTCAGTTACCCGCTTCCTTTGGGGCATCGAGTAGGGTTTTTATATCCCACTTTTGTGGGGAAAAATTGCTAAATTTAAAAAAATGCATATTTCTTTTGCTAACTCCTTGTAGCCCCAGTGCTGTGGAAGAGTTGGGGTGGGTTTAACTCGAGTTCTTCTCTGTCTACTTTAGAGCTCTCCTGTGCTTACTTGGGCCTTGCTCTTTCCCTGAACAGGGCACCAGCTTCCTAAACCAGAGGTGATCCTGCAGTTGGAGAAAGGGGAAGATCCCTGGCTGGTGGAGAGGGCAGTTCAAGAGTTGTGTCCAGGTGAGCACCAGGCAGGAGCTGCCACAGTAATGTCCACATGGCCTGAGGGGGCACAGCCTGGAGACAGGCTCAGGTTCTCCTTATAGGTCCTCCTTTCTGAGAGAGTGCTAAAGTCTCCTGCCTCCAGTTGTTCTGCATTCCTGGCAGGCTTGCGTTGGCTTGCAGAGACCAAGGTGTTGTTAGACCAGGATGCAAGAAAAGACCACTGACTCCAATTAAAATCAAATTAAAGCAAGCTTATTATCTTGACCGGCCGGGCTGCCTCTCCCTCCCAAAACGGCGGGAACAAGACAGCACTGCAACCTTTCTTGTTGCCCAGCTTTATAGCCCAGAAAGTTACACAAAGGTGGGTTACAGATAACAGAACTCTGACAAGCATCACACTAATGGTAGTTTAAATTTTTCTTTGCTGGCCCCAACATCAGAATTTATGAGGACCCTTAGAGCCTCAGAGAGGGTCATTGTCTGGCCAGGGAAGGCCAAGATTTGTGAGGTGTCACTAAAGTTTCAGAGAGGGCTGCTATCTGGTCAGAGAGCCAGGCATGGGTGAGTTCAAGGCACGGGCAGGCATTCCAAGCAGGTTCAGAATTTGCAGTAATTTATAGTAAAGCCGAAATTATCTTTTCATGGCTTTGTGGCAAGATGGCACCCAATTTTAATAAAAGATCAGGTTGGGTCTATCAGTGTCTGACTGCTTCACTAAGACTGTCTTCCTGTGGCACACCTTGCTCAGCCCTGCTCCTGTTTGGGGATTATTACCATGAGCTCCACTTACCATGGGGTAAGTTTTTCATCTCCCTAACTCTTTCTTTTTTCCTGTGGTCCCTCCACAGAGCTCAGCTCTTCTCTGTCAGCTGGCCAGTGGAACTGTCCCCTGCCAGTGTTCTGAGCATTTGTTTCCAGTCATTTGTAAGCTGCTCCGGAGGCTCGCAGGCTCCTGCTGCCTTGGCTCCCTCCATTCCAGAAGTGCTGTTCTTGGACCACTTTTCCCACTATAGCTCCGTATTTAATGTTTTTCAACTTACTCATATTTCATTTTAATGTTAGTATCCCTAAAATGAAAATTGTTGTGTAGCTTCCAAAGGTAATTTATTTTCCCAATTCCCTGTGTATTTCTGAGAAATTGGCCTTCTGAGTTAAAAAATAGGAAGTTGTCTCCCAGCTCCCCACCCCCGTGTTCTCAGTCAGTGGTCCTTTTTCTGAGCTCTGAGCTCAGTGCATCTCACATGTTGCTGTCAGAATCATGCTACAAGTACAGTGCTTCTCGCCACGCAGAGGGCCAGCTCACATGCAAGGGGCTCTACGTGGGCTCTCAGGGGACATTAATTTCCCAGTCCCATTAGATTCCTGTCACATTGGAAAGAACTGTTTCTCCACCTCTTCACCAGTACCTGATGTGCACACCTGGAAGGCATTTCCGATGCCTCAATATTTGAGTCTTACGAGTCCTATGAATTCATTGATTGAGTTATGTGTGTTTTTTGAGTTCTTTATATATCATGGAGATTAATGCTCTGATGTACAGATGGCAAAGATTTTCTCCTATTCTGTTGGCTCTCTCTTCATGTTCTAGTTTGTTTCCTTTGCTGTGAAGAAGCTTTTAAGTTTGATACCATCCCATTTATTGATTCCTGATTTTACTTCTTGTGCTTTAGGAGTCTCATTGAGGAATTCAGTTCCTAAGTCAACATAATGGAAATTTGGGCCTGCTTTTTCTTCTAGTAGGAACGGGGGTCTCTGGTCTAAAGCCTAGGTCCTTGATTCACGCAGAGTTGAGTTTTGTGCAGGGTGAGATATAAAAGATTCAATTTCATTCTGTTACCTGTGGATTTCCCATTTCCCCAGCACTATTTGTTGAAGAGGATATCTTTTCTCCAATGTGTGTTTATAGGACCTTGTCTAGTATGAGAAATGACTATATTTATGTGGGTTTGTCTCTTATGTCTTCTATTCTGTTCCATTGGTCTTCATGTTTGTTTTGGTGCCAATACCATGCTGTTTTTGTTTCTGTAGTATAATTTAAGGTCTGGTATTATGATGCCTTCTGCTTCACTTTTCTCACTGAGGATTGCTTTGGCTCACTTGTAAGAACTTGATCAGTCAACTGCTTTGGGCCTGGGAGGAAAGCTTTTTCTATTTTCTTGCTTCCTTTTCTTATTTCTTTTATTTTGTGTTCATTCATTCAGCAAGTTTTCCTAGATGTTAACTGACAAGTTTCCAAAAATATCAGTCATTAACTAGATTGAGCAGTTTAGATATTTGTTGATAAAATAATTTAGATGTCTATTGATAATTTGTTGTCAAATGAAATATTGAAACTCCACGTTATCAAACACATGGAATTTAAATAAATCTACAAGACTTAATGAACTTCATCATCAAAACCATTAGTGTAATGAACGATGCTTTAGAAATGTTGACTGACAGGTGCTGCAGTTTGGTGGTGATGTATTTGCGTAACAGTGTTTCCTGGTAAGTCAGGGTTTCTAGGACACTGGTGATGGAGAGCACCCCGCTTGTGCTCAGACACCACACTCAGACTCTTCTTTACCAGTGTGCAGCCCCTTCACATCAATGTCCATTTTAGAGTCTTGCAGTTGCCATTTGTAGTTTGAAAAGCCACTGTGAGATTCTCTGAGGGTAATGGAAAGGGGACCAAGAATCATCAGGGCAGAATAGAAACTAGGAACGCTAATGGTCATGAAAATGAGGATATTGGAGTGGGCGTTTAAAAAGAAGTCACCCAGGGAACTGGCTGGGCACAGAGATCATGTTACTTGTGTTTGTTTCCTAAAGCTGCCATGAAAAAGTACAAGTTGAGCATCTAATCTGGAAAGTTGAGATCCAAACTACTCTTAAAACCTGAAACTCTTTTTCTCCCCGCAGTCCTGGGGATTAAACCCAGGGGTGCTCTACCACCTAGGTACATCCCTGGCCCTTTTTAAATTTTGAGACAGGGTCTCAATTAGTTGTCCAGTCTGACCTCTGCCACAGTCTGGCTGGGCACAAAATAACCGAGCCGCCACGAGGCACTTGTAGGTTCAAAACAGGAACTCCTTTATTGCCCGTACCCCGTGAAGGCCACCCACCAGAAATCCCTCCTCCAGCACTTCCCCAACCAATGCGGAAGTCTCCAGGAATCCCCTCGAGATCTCCAAAGTAGTGGGCTCTCCAAAGTAGTGGGAGCCAGAGGCATCAAGAGCCGCCCTATTGCCAGTAAAGGTCAAATATACAATACAATCAATCCAGCATCACAGCAATTATATATAGCTTAATTCAAATCATCATCTCAATGGTTCACTGGTCACCTTTCAAACATTCTCTCTGGCAAATGCCAGGCGTCATTCTGACTGGGCCGTGGCTCTCAACAGACCTCGAACTTGTATTCGTCCTGTCTCAGCAATTAGGTAGGATTACAGGTATGCACATTGCACCCACCTGATAAAACCCAGACTTTCTGAGCACTGACATGATGTCAAAAGTGTAGAGTTACTTGGTGTACTGCATGTTGTTGTCAATATGAAGGAATGTGATACAATTTTTCAGTCCCCAAGGGAAGCAAAGACTCCCAGCCCACTCAGCTGTGGTATACCTTTTCTAGGTGTGCCTGTGTTCCTTACACAAGCGTGCTCAAAGAGTGCAATAAGATGTGTGTTTTCTGGATAATGAATGGCAGGTTTCCAGTTCCCCACATGAGGCCAAGATCTGTGCCCATTGTATACTCTATGTCTTCTTTACTCTCTGGACTGTGGTGTAAAGGACTTAAGATGTCCGAAAGGCCTGCAGATGCCCCTGTTGATAATGGTGATAAGAAAAAGTGTAAGCATTTGTATCTTTCCACTGTCTATTCTCCCTCCTCCTCCTCCTTCCTTCTTGCTTCTTCTTCTTGCTGCTGCTGTTGCT